CCAAAAAGTCCTTTGGTATAGAGGAATTTCAGGAGTAGCCTAAAACTCCATCTTCTCACTGCTAAGCCCCGCCTTCTTCCAGAGTCAACTTTTCTTTAGATCAGGCAATGTAACAATTTCCCTAATATACTTATAAGATATGAACGCCTTAATATTTCAACACTACACAGAAATCAATCTGCTGGACTAGATTTTTGCTTTCTTGCGATAGGCTATATTGTGGCAGATTCAAGATAGAACTGGTAGAATACTTCTTAGATGTATTTTATCTGGAGCAGAGACTCTGTTATAGATAGGAGTATTAAATGGGGAAAATTGTCCTCGTTTAGAAGTACATTGAGTGTTAATGTGTATTTTATGTGTTGGATATTGGGATTCATAGGCAAGTCCTTGTGCATTAACAATGTTGTGCATTAAGAGAAATGAAAATGAAAGGATGCCCTCCAATGGGAAAAAAAATCAAATGTGAAGGATTTCTTAGACTAAAAAATAATTTTATAAGAATAGCAGAGAAGAAGTCCAGAGATGATGTTCATGATTCATGAATGAGCCCTAATGACTCAGTGGTTAGAATGCAATATTGCAGGCAAACACTGCCCACAACCAGGAGTTTGATCCTGATGAGACTCAAGGTTGTCTCAGCCTTCTATCCTTCTGAGGATCCAGATTGTTAGGGGCAATATGCTGCCTCTGTAAACCAATTAGAGAGGGCTGTAAAGCACTATGAAGCAGTATATAAGTCTAAGTGCTATTGCTATTCATCAATCATTAGATGTCATCATTCATCTTAAGGGTTTGGTGTTAAAACCACAATTCTATACATTTAACTATATCTTCTTACTGTCTCTGCAGGAGATGCCAAGCTTCGTTTTGGCAATAGACATACTTCAGTCACCTTGGGCAGCCTCCTAGATGACCAACACTGGCACTCGGTTCTCATTGAACGATTCAATAAGCAAGTAAATTTCACAGTGGACAAGCACATGCAACATTTCCGGACGAAGGGAGATTCTGATGATTTGAATATCGATTATGAGGTGTGTTGGGCATTTTATGATAATAAAAGCATTCATTGAGACTGCAGAGAACTAGATATAATGGTCTATTTGGCTTTATGACCAATGGAAATATTTATATTGTCTTCAATAACATTCTTATAAAGTTCAGGAATTAATATGTTTTTATTTTACCATTTTAAAAGTGGGGAAAAAATTACAATTTATGTACTGAAACCATAAACAGAAGCCATAACATAGATTAAAGCAAACTTTGAGATTTATAGCATTCGGAAAAACTTTGATGACTGCAGGTTACTGCAGGTTACTCAAAACAGAGGATAAATTGAAGGAACAAAGACCAAGAATGAAAAGTGGGGTGACCATGTAATGTGTGGATAGGGCTTAGTTTTTATTATTATATTATTAGTATGGGTTTTTGTACAGTCAACTGGATATTTAGATTGGATTAATAATTTTTATTTATGTGTTGAGTCCTTCCAAGGACCTGGGAGAAGCAATTGATGTTTAATGGTATTAAAGATGTTGTCACAGGACATAGGTTCTTCCAAGTAAAGCTGCCTTTTGCAATTGACATGTGATTTTTGTCAATGCCACTGGTGTTCAAGTGATGGTCCAGATGTTTGGGGATTTCACCCAAGGCTCCTATTACTATGAGTCTTTGTTTCTTTATTTTCAATCTCGTGTATTTGCAATGAGTATTTTCAGTTTTTGTGTATTTTTCTCACATTTTTCTAATGTTTAGTATCTTTTTTTAAAAAAAAATAACAGCTTTATTGAACCAACTTTAGTTCTTTATTATATATTTATAACTTCATTCCGTTTCTATGCCATCAAATTCCTTTTTACTCATAGTGGCATATTTTGTATGTTTCCCACTTAAAATAGCGAGAACCCTTTAGTTTTCAACATGAACATGACCAAACCTCATTTGCATAAAATATTTGTTGGGTCATTAAAAAAGATCCATGGGACCCTGAGGACACAGATTGTCCTATTCTGCCTAAAGGCAAGGTTGCAAATTATTAAAAATGAAAAGGGCTTTGGTTCTGCAACTCCCTGCATCAAGTTGGCTGAGGTTTTGGACAGTATAACTTAGCTTCAAATGAGAGGTCTCAGATTCCCTTATTCTGCCCTAAAAATTACAATTATTATTCTAATCACTCTATTAAATAAGCAGCAAGTGGCATGTTATAAATAACTATGTTGTAACTGTTAAATTTCAGTGTAAGTGAAAAGAATAGTGCAACTAGGGAAAAGCCATATAAAAGTGTTTTAGTTAAATAAATGAAAATAAAAACTGAAAGAATATGGCCAAATGTACGTGGGGATGTCATGGATATGGGGAATTCGGCAAACAGAAGTCCACACATTTAAAAGTTACTGAGATTGAGAAATGCTCATGAAGCTGGTAGAGGTGGGGTTCTTTCTGATACTTTTTATCTCATTTATGCATTTGTTTCTCTAACTAGTCATTACATAATAACATGGTTCCAGAGGGGGAACTTGTTTTCCTTAACTTCATCTTTGACTTTTCCACATTTTCTCCAAACTGACCACTTACCGGTACTATAATTATATTATTTGTCCTCCTGTGTTTCTATTGAAGATTCTTAATCATCTGGGAAGTCATGGTTGTCCCAAAGGTGCCTTTTCAGAAGGCAATTGGTCTTGGCTTTTTTCTTGAAGATTTTTCATTTATCCAGAGCTGAAGAAGCTTTTTGAATGAGAAGCAAAACATCTTCAAGGAAAAACAAAGTCCAGTTGCCTTCTGAAAAGGCACCTTTAGTCTTCCTATGCTCCTTGCCTCTTATGTGACTATGAAGGTATATACAAAGGGAATAGCATGCTTGCATTTAGCTTTGAATGTCAAGGATGGAATACAGTAGGCAAGCGTACAGCATGCAGTAGGCATACAGTAGGCATTTCTGTGGCAGAAAATTGGAAATCTAAAATAACTTCTTAACTTCTTAATTAAGAAGTTATTAACTTCTTAATAACTTCTTAAAACTCTACTTGTCCAAGTGTGTGGGCTAACTAATTCAAGTATTTAAAAATGAAATGAAAAATTTCTCTGGCACTGACACTGCATGTACACCTACTTGAATATCCTAGAACGTAGACCCCAATTTAAATGTGCATTGGATCTTATCCTTGGGCTTAGAAGGCCATCCTTGTCTATTGATGCTTAAGAAGTCTCACATGGGTATTTTAATTAGCTTGGAGGAAGATATTTATACCATAGAAATAATAGGTTTCTCTTCACTGAAGCAAAGAGGTAAATGTAATTTGCCTCCACAAAACAAAGTTGCTTTGCCTTGAACTGTTTGGGGACATCAAACACTGGCTGTTGATGACTTCAAAGCTTTGCAACTTCATTGCAATAGTCAAGCCTGGTGTCATTGGAACAGTATGCATTGAAGCTGCCCAGCATGGAAGAATTTTGATGTGCTCTGAAAGGTCTCTGACTTTGGCACATACTGCAAGTAGTCCCACAATTCCCATAAAACCTAACTAGAAACACTTTGGCCAACAGTGCATCTCAAAGTCTTCTCCTGCAAGGTGAATTCTAGGTGGGGGGCTAAGAGGAGTTGCAAAGCAGAGCAATACCCTTCAGATCAAAAGAAATGTGTTGCTGTGTTAAACAGAATGAAGGTGATTCTTCAAAAGAAAGGAAGCATCACTTCAGGGATTTCTACAGCCTTTCTCTCATACCTTTAAATTTTCAGAGTAGCGAAATCAATGGGAGAAGAGAAGAATATTTGGTTATGTCTGCTGAGTTAATGAGCTATCAGTCATATAATGCATTCGTGTTAGGACATTAATGTTCTGATCTAGTCCCAAAGTGATTTGGGATGAAACTGAGTTGAGACAGTCCTGGAAGGAGATTTTTTTATGAGGATAATAGTAATATGTCAGAGAATGGAATAGAAAGGAATGCTGCAAATGTTAGTCTGCAAGTAAAAATGATGAAAGGGAAGGCATAAATGCTATGAGAATGTTGAATTTTGTGAGGCTTCAGGGGAAGATGATATCTGCTTCAGAAATGTTAAAATATGGATGAAGTTTGCTTGTGGAATGGCTCTGTGACTTATTTAATGTGTGTCTGAAGTCAGATGTTGGAGAGCAATTGTTCCCATTGGAAGGAGGACTCAAGCAGGGAATTAGTCTGGACTCCTTATGTAAACTCAAAAGGATGATGTCTGACTCACCTGAATGCTTTTGAGCCTCATCTAGTTTCTTTCACAGTTGAAAATTACCAGTCTGGGGACATTCCTGTAGACTAGGCATAAAACAATAAAGTGGCTAGTCTGAAAGTCTACATGTGTGGGTGGGACTGGTTGTTCATGCCTCACAGCAGCATCTCTGCCTAGCAATAAGAAGAATGCCATTATTGTTCCATTGTACAAAGGAAAGATTGCATGCATGAATATACAAACTGCAGGGGATAGTTTTAGATTGTTGAGTGTACTTAGGCAGATATTTGGCAGAATTCTGATTGAAATATTAGAAAAGGTGTCAGTGAACAAAATTCGGGAGAATACACACATAGAATGTGGATTAGAGTTTTTCTCTTCAGCAAAACTGGATCACTATGAGAAAAAAAGTTTATTGCATGACTTGGAGAAAATAATAAAATTGAAAATACTTGAATTATGGATTGTTTTGTGAATATGAAAATGGAGGTTGATTGTGAAATATGACAAAGGTGTATAAAGTTATAAGATTTTCCATGAATGTTATTCATGGACTTCATGATGTAACAAGGAGTGTTGATCTGAATATAAATACAATAAAGACAATGGCAGTTGTGCTTGATGGGAAAACAAAGCAAACAGGTCAAAATGTACATAAAAGGGGGGGGGGAACCTACCATGAATGGTTGTTTGTTTGTGTAAAATATTTACTAAATATTTTACACAATAAATATATTTTACTAAATATAAAGATGGTTGAAGAACGTTTTAGATATGTAAAGACAGGGAGAAAGAAAGCGAATAGTGTGTGATCTTTTAAAGGACTGAATATCAAAAGAAGTGAAAATGATTGAATATTAATGAATGTTTCCGCTCGCTTAGTTACATGGAAATGAGGCTGGGCATGTCAAACTGAATGCAGTGGCAATGGGTAAAGTAAGCAAACATAGAGTTAAGAATGAATAGCTGGGTCTTACCTTAATACTCTTTCAAAAGGTCCTGAATACATGGTTTTGGCAGTAGACTTGGGACCCCAGGTGATACAGAAGAGATTTGTCTGAATTTTGTCATTGGTTGGGTTGGTGGGTAAGGGTTTGTTAGATTTTGTAATTGTGGTTTTACTCCTGTAAGCAGACTGGAGTCAGTTGGTCAGGCATATAAATGTTTTAAATAAATAAATAATGCAGTGATACAGAGTAGAAATAGGTTGACTGATTCCCCATCACACTGATATTACATACAACTAATATTCTCATGCAGCTGTACTAGTTGTACTGGACTATAGCTAGTAACTCCCCCAGCCATTGCAATAATATGTTGGCTAGAGTATGATAGAATGTGACACATCACAGCTGAACCAGCAGTCCTCTCCTCCAGGCAATTGGCCTGTCTCCATGTGCTGACAGTGCACAATCACAGATTACTTTATCAGTTATGCATTAGTTTTTGTTTTCTAGGCTTCCCAACTGCTGTAAAGAAGGATGAGACAGTGGCAACTTCTAATTCCTGGTGTTTTAGTAGAGAAAGAGCAAGCAACTTGTCCCCTTTCTACCCTTCTGTGGATATAGTTGAAAACTGAAGCAGCCAAAGATGGAGGGCTTTCAGAGGCTTCTTCAGATCACCATTTTGATTGTGGTGGAAGAAAGACAATTAATTCACTAGGAAGGACACCAAACAACATGGAAGGAGTTAGTAGACCAGGATATTTGCTGAATAAAACAAGCCTGCCAAAGGCTAAAATTATTGTCCTATTGAGGTTAATTACCTTGGTTAATTAGCAGCTCTTTTGAACCTGTGTAACACATTGTTTGGCCCATCCCCATGACCCAGTTAAATATGTCTTATGATCACTTCTTTAGAAGCCTAGATTAAGAAAGGCTATAATAAAACAACACTTGTCAACTGTAACAATTTAATTATAGGACTTAATAGAAAATATAGAAATCCCACAATTACCTTTGGTCAATTTATGTTTAATGATTACCTACTTTAGATCAGAGACTTAAATGGGCCCACTGTACCCCATAGTACTATTGTCTATTGAAAGCTTATTTTAGTATTTTTTAAGGGATTAAAGGTGAAGCTACGGAAAATAAAGGGATTAGTTAGGTAATTAAAAATATAATTGATCACCAAAGGAAGTGGTTTTTTTCTCCAATAATGCAGTAGCATAATTGATATTGACTGTACAGTTTTAATTTCATTTTTTGTAAGTCCAGACTGGAGGACAAAATAAGAAAGAGCAAAGGTAGCAAGTAATAATGAGTTCCAGAATGAGAATGGATCTTTAAATCTTATTCATCCTGCCAGTAATTTGGAATCTAAAATTATATTGCTAAAGAAAAAATCTATTAGTACTGCCATGCTATTTAGAAGAAAGTTTTGATGCTTCTTTTCCATATGAAATTGGAATTAATGTCGATTTCAGATGATTTCAGCTTTTGACCCTGAAACTACTTTAGCCAACCAAATGGTTAACCTATGGTGAAAGAAAAGTAGACAGAATAAAATGGAATTATTAATTTGCTCTTTATGGATTGTCCTTTCGCTAGGCATTTCTTTCATTAACACCTAGAAAGTGATCTTTGGTCAAAATCATACAGCTATTGGAGGATTAAAATTTGAATTTGTCCTTGTCTCAAAGCTCAGTTTTGGAGGAATCCCAGTCCCAGGAAAACCAGGAACCTTCCTGAAGAAAAATTTCCATGGTTGTATTGAGAACCTATATTACAACGGAGTCAATATCATTGACCTAGCCAAAAGACGGAAACCACAGATCCACACAGTGGTAAGAACTTAAAGCACCTTTTTTTTTTAGGGCGAGTTTGACTTTTTGTTTTCCTGAAATTGTTCTTGTTGACAAATTTCCTCAACCTGTGAAGCAAGTTTCTTAGGTAAGAAAATTTCTTTCTTTCTTTCTTTCTTTCTTTCTTTCTTTCTTTCTTTCTTTCTTTCTTTCTTTCTTTCTTTCTTTCTTTATTTATTTATTTATTTATTTCAAAAAGCCCTGTACAGGCTAAACAGTGAGTTAATCCCCACCACCACAAGAATGCATTTGAAAGTTTCAGCAATCTGGATTTAAGTATGCCTTTTGAAGGAAGTTTAAAAGAGCTGGCAGCTGAAGGAAATAAATAAGAGAATTACTATTTTTACTGGCAGTGCATTAAATATAAAAAAAGTGAAATGCTGAAGCACGTTTTGAAAATGTGTATTCAGTTTTTGTTTGCTAGCCCAGGCCCATATCCTATGGAATTGGGGGCATCTGCAGAAAATTCAAGATGGTGATTGTGATTATGAAATCAAAGCCTTGCTCCATGTGTCATCAAGTACACAACTGAAAGGCTCAAGTTCTCCAGTAAACCAAAAAGAGCCAGTAGGCCATCTACAACTTATAATTGCAGGGCAATTTTCTGATCAACTATGTAGGACAAACAGGCAGAAGACAAGCAGAGTGCATTTGTGAACACCAAACAGCAGTCAAAGAACATAATGAAAATTCCTTAATCTCATAAGACATAAACAGATTCAACCACAATTTCTCTTGGGAAACTATTAACATCTTAGGCCAAGCCAAATCAAAATAATAGGGGAATTCCTGAAAGCTGGGCATTCAGACAAATTAACCATCAACAGATACATAGTGATACAGTAAATCATGTTTAAACATTATTCAAAAGAGAAATTAAATTAAAAACTTAGAAGGAAACAAAAAACATAGAATAATTCCCTCTAGCAGCTCACATTCAGATATACAGGGATCAATACCAGAGAAACAATCAATACACTGATCAAGGAAGAAAAAGCACACCCGCCAAAATTAGCAGGACAAGTTAATATATATAAACAGGCAGCTAATCAGCACTTAAACCTTTACTTACTCACATTAATGGCATTACTAGTTGGGCAATAAAATGTCTACAAGCAAACAACCAAGTTCAGATAGCACCAGGATCTCCACAGTCCAACTTTACTACAGATTTCTCTTTCATTGAAACTGTTCACTGTTACTCATACTTTACCATCAAGATGTTTCCCCTTATATTTAAATGAAATGTAGATAGTTATAAGCAAGATCCATTATTTCTGGTCCTAGTTTTTATGATCATGGAAAATGTTCTTGGTCATCTTTCCTGTAGCTTCCCTATATGTACCTGAACATCACTATCATGTCTCCTTTTCTCCTTGCTGATGATTTTGGTTGTTGCTTATCCTTCTTCTCCCTCCTTGTTTTGCATATACTAGAAAAACCTTTTTTAAAACATCATTTTAGCAGCAAATACAAAACACATTTCCTGCAGTAATAATTAGTTATACTGTTATGATTCATGCTTCTATGATTCTGGTTTGACGATGTCTCAAAAATGCACCCTTCAAAACTGAAGAAAAACATCCGATGAGACACAAAGCCGAGACTGTACAGAATTGTTTTCTGAGGTGATGAAAACACATGCAAAATTAAAAACACATATGTAGGAAGTGCAAGAGTATTCTGACTATCATAAATAGTGCTTTGCTTCTTATTCTCAACCTTCAGTATTTCTTATCCTCAGCCTCCAGTGCTGTCACCTATCATGATGTTGAAAGCATAATGGTCCCACTCTATGATTTCTATTGAAGCAAAAGTCTGCACTGTATAGGTAAAGGTAAAGGTTCCCCTGCACATGTGTGTTAGTAGTTTCTGGCTCTAGGGGTGGTGCTCATCTCTGTTTCCAAGCCAAAGAGCCAGTGCTATCCAAGGACGTCTCCGTGGTCATGTGGCAGGCATGACTAAACGCCGAAGGCGCACAGAGTGCTGTTACCATCTCACCAAAGTGGCCCCTATTTTTTCTACTTGCATTTTAATGTGCTTTTTAACTGCTAGGTTGGCAGAAGCTGGGCAAGTAATGGGAGCTCACTCCATTACATGGTGTTAAGTCTATCCCCGTTAGGAGACTAGAGTTGTGCAGCAGAAGTTAGTAACGAATAAGCCGGTGAGTAGTCACTTACAACCATCGAAGGTAAAACAAGGAATAGCTTCACTTGCGTAATAAAAATAGGATAAATAGTCTCCAAAACAGACTATAAGCAGTCTTGAAGTATATAAACAGTCTATTTACAATACGTTGAAGTTACAGTTGCTCAACTCACAATTCACCTTGTAGACAGGTAACTAACATACAGACTAGCCACCATTCAATACACGGTCTTCTCTCCCAATACTAAGCACATACAGTAACAGTCAGTAACTATCAGGAACAACAGTAGAACCAGTAGAATCAGTAAAACTCAGGAAACATCAGGAGCATCAGGGAGAACTCCGTACTAGATCCTACTTCCTTATATGGCTGCTTAAAGCAATAGCATCCAATTACCGCTCTCTTACATTTAAAGTAACAGATACATTTGTTACAATCATGGCTTATATACATTATCAAGCCAAGACTAGGATTACATCCCTAACACATGGCACAAGGGATTTGAACAACTGAACTGGCGACCTTCTGATCAACAAGCTCAGCATCTTAGCCACTGAGCCACCACGTCCCTGTATACATGGAGCCCCCACTGCATTGTATACATGGAGGCATTTTTAACCACCTGGAATAGAAGGCTATTTTCTACCATTTCTATACTCATTTTAGGTGAAACAAAGCTTTCACTTCTTCCTTTCTCTTTTTTCTTGCAATAAACATTTTAGAAAAGAAGAATAAATGAAATGTCCATCAGTGTATTGGATGGGCTGTGTTAAGCTATCACTCCCAATCTGTTTGTCCAAAAGATTCCCCATTTATTATAATGTTCTCTATATCATATTGTTGATCAGGGCAGAAAAAAACATGTGGACTTTGAAAAATAACATCCTATATCAAAGTCTGAAATTTCTGATACACACACAACACTATTTTTGCATGTTCTCATAAGCTCCAGGTCCAACCACTTCAATAAATATATAAACCATGTATTCAATCTTTCCAAATCGCATGCATCAAGAAATGATGGACTGAAACTAGATGGCTAGCGATGGGGCACTAGTCAAAGAGAATTTTGCTACTCTAAATTCCACTTTTGCATTAGCAGAACAATTTAGCTTGTTCAGTGGAAAATTATAAGGTTGTGACTTCATTTGTTATAAGCTCCAAAGCTTGAGATTGCTTCTGCCTGACTATTTTCTAATTTCTATACATGATCTTGCCTTTAGCTGCTTGCCGTGAAAGGCAAGTTATGTAGATGTTTAAGTATCACCCAAGATTGGATCCTTTCAGCTCCTTTTGAAACTAAGAAGATAGGAAGATGTGTTTGATCTTAAGTTTCCTCAAAATAGGACCTCTGAATGGGGAGCTATACAATGTTAGAAATTGCTGGTCTGGTTATTTTGTATATTGATTCAACTTCAAGTTAACTGTTTTGCTTCTTCTTTTGAAAGTTTCCATTTTCTTCGCTTCCCTTCTTCAAGGCAGGGATTTCAGACATTGTAGCTCACCAGTTTTTTGACTAAATGCAAACAATTTCTCCAAGTAATGTTTTGTAGAGCCCTATCTAGCTTACCATAATTTAGTATATCTCATAATCCTCCTCCCCACCCCCTCTTTAGGTAAACATATATCACTCAAAATTCATTATGCTTTATATTGCCATTATCTTATGTCTAAGGATTGGTTGATAGTTTCAATAATCCCAGTAAAATTCTAGTAGAGCTACACCAAATAAGAATTAAGGTCTCAAATCAGGATAATTTTTAAAATTGTTATAATTTCTTACAGTTCTTAGTGTTTCTTATTTATTTATAGATTTTTAGCTAAAATATTTATAGCAAAGAAACTATAAAACTATTTTACTTTTATAGTCGGTTGTTCCTCATTTTATATTTCAGCTTTCATAATCCATGATAATATGTTTTACTTTATTTTATTAATGTCATGTTTGGTTACTTCTGTTTTTATTTTGGAATAATATTTGTTTTATGCTGGTCTACGACTGAAATAAAACCAAACAAATATATGATTAGAATTGAACCTATATGTGTGATGTGTGTTCTTTCATCTAAGAGGGCCACAAAAGATACAATCTTCCAAGCTTTTCTCCACATATTTTCTTAGTTTTCTTCTTGGGGGCAACAGTGCACTCTTTTAGCATGTTATTAGTTTTAACACATTGAAATATTCCTTGGAATTACAGAAAGCCACCAGTTCTTGCCCTTTCACAGTCTAACGCTGATGGCTCCAGTTGGAGTAGACTCTGGAAATCACATATAAAAGGCTTTGAAGGTTACAGGAAGACCTTGTGTTCTCCACTGTTGTTGTAAACTTAACAAGTCATTCTGTATCCATGAATAATCAACAATCAATAGTAGAGCAGGCTCATTATATTCATACATGTGGAATTTATGACCGTGATGGAGCCTGCCCATCGTAATCTTAAGTCATGTAAAATGTGATTGGTCACAAGACCAACTACATATTACAATCTTTATTGTGGTGGTTATTAAGTGAATCTACCCTTATGGTTTGGTTATTCAAAGAAGGAAAATGCCTGAACATTTGGGCAGTGTGAGGGTTTGTTTTGGAGATTCAAATCAAAGGCAATTCAATCACATTGCTCTTTTGATTTTTTTTCAGATCAAATCAGTGGAACAAAGGGAATCAAATTAATGTGACAATTTAATTGCCTTTGAGCATAACAGAATTGAAATTTTAAATTGCATCAACATGATTAGGTGACTGAAATCAATGTCAGATATAGAATAATTCCAACTTTCTTGGTCAGAGCATCATTTTGAATCAGAATGATTTGACAATTATAAATGGGAGA